TTTTTTTTTTCCGCTAAAAGAAGCATTATAAATGAATATTTCGTTTACTTGCATATCAAATAATGAAGGAATAAGTTGAGGTTATCAATACTGCTTAATTAATTCTGTCAACTCTTTTTACCTTTTTCAATTTACCTTAGTAATACAGTAATGAAGAGGATTCAAAATGAAACATATTTTTGTAGTAAATTTGATAAAATACATGAATATAATAAGTTTTCATCAGTAAAGGTATCCTTTATGAGATTATAAAAACCGGAAATTATAATTATTTCATTCATTAAAAAAAAGATTTATCAATAAGTTAATTAGCTGAAACGTTTCTAAAAATAAATATTCCTAGTCTAATCATTAAATAAAAATTGAAACTTTTCAAGATTATAAATTATTTTCATAAAAAGAAAATCATACCGGTACCACAAAACCACATATCATTAAACTAGATCCTTTCGTGATATTATAAGCAAAATCAACAAGTGATGGTCGTGCTGCCGGATTACCGGCTAATAACAATACTTGTGGTCGATAATTCTTTACATGCTCTTCGGTATTGGCTAATTTTTGCATAGCTTGTAATGCATTCTTATATGTGTGAGCTTGTGTTGATGAACCCCAATTAACATCTATCATAATTTTATAATTAATGGATAATTAATGAATTCAAAAGATAAAAATAAATTTACATATAAACTTTTTTTTTTACCTGACAATATGAAGTTTTAATTTATCAAAACTTTTCAAATACGAAAAAATTTTATCAAGAAAGTGTTGAACTTTAGAAAATTTGTAAATATATAAAAGTTGCTAACATCATTGTAATCATATTTTTATATATTATGATTTTTTTTTTTTAAAGAATATTTCGTTATAAGTAAAATTTGAAAAGTGATAATTTAACAAAGAAATAGTTAAATTGAAATTTTAAAATACAGTTTCGAATTTAAATTTATATCTTATAAGTGGAAAAAAAAAGAAGAAACGAACCAGGTTTACGATATAAAATATACAAAAATAACACAGCAAAAAAAAAGAATGTGAGCAATGCAGTCGACCATGAAACAATAAACATTACGCTGATACAAAGTAATGCACCGATTAGTGATACCCACATATTGTAATACTTGAAAGCGGGTCGAAAACCTGAATATTTCAAAAATTTCATTATTTAAATTGATCTGATAACAGATATCAACTTCAAGCTGATAACAGATACTGCTCTAAGCTGATAACAGATATTGCCCCAGGCTGATAACAAATACTGCTCTAAGCTGATAACAGATATTGTTCAAAGCTTATGTAATCTCGACTAATTCAATTTAATTATACACCAAAAATAATGTAAATTAATCCTGAATGTCACTTTTCAATCAGAATTGAAGTATTTGAAATTAAATTTTAAAACCTGGTGAATCAGCAAATGAAGCATCGAAACATGAATAATTGACGAGTGCATAGGAAGCCAAGAAAAAATTTGAAATTATTGGTGCTATTGCATTTAATTCGCCTGAAAATGCTCAATTTCCCTTAATAATTTAGGTAAAAAAAAAATTAAAATTTAAACTAATCCATTCAATAATACTTTACTGGAAAATTTTGAATGAATTTAATGAATTGAAAGAATATTTCAAGTACAGTCTAATAAAAAGAGTACGATAGCATACCATAATGTGTTTCACATTAAATTTGACAGCAGTAATTTCCGCACGTTATAAATTTAATTTTCAAAGTATTATGCAAAAAAAAAAGAAAAAGTAAAAATAAAAACGTCCATATAATCGAAACCAATGACATGAAGAAGATGGAAAATATTAGTAATCTTGTTAGGTAAGGTCATTTCGTTGGAGTTTTTTGTCAATTTATTTCGTCACCAAAAACTCTTTTTTTTTTTCTTTCAAATTCAATATTAATGGATTAAAATTACTGGAAGTTTGCCTTTTTTTTTTTTTGGAAATATGTTATAAAATTTCTGGAATATTAGTTTCATTTTCAGTAAAACTATCATCATTTTAAATAAAATACTAAAAATTCAACAATTACCAATTAGAATCATCACCAAAGCAATTACAAAACCAAGTATATAAGCTCGTCGTGGTTCTTCATCTTTCCCATAACCTCGAGCAAAGAAGTCTACTTTTGGGAAAAGACGATCTTTGCATACCGCCTATATTCAATAAAAGTTTATAATCTGGACAAGAAACAAATAATACCTTCGTTTAAGCTATTCATCTATGGTATATTAATAGCTAATTGAATGAACATTTCATTACTTCCTGCTTTAAATGCTAACATTTTTGTATAAAATTAAAAATTCATGATTTTTAGACTAATAAAATTATGAAAAGTAATGTGAAAAGAAAAAGAAAAAAAAAATGTTACCTGAAAAATTTTTGGTGCACTAACAAGACTAGCTAAAGCTGAGCTTAATGTTGCAGCAAAAATACCAGCTGTAATTAGTGGTCCATAAAAACTTTCATTTTCCATTACCTAAATTAGTAAACAAATAATAGCACAAATAAACATTAAAATTTAATCCTAAACAATTAATTTATTTGAAAAATAAAAGTAAAAAAAAAGGATAAAAGATGATGAAAAATAAGTTATTCTATAAAATAAATATTTATCAGACATAAAATGGATATAAGCAAATATTTCAACCTGAAAATAATTCATCAAACCATATGGACATGTATTATTATGCGCACAATCAGGGATAAAATAGGAATTATTGATAATATACGGTAGTTGATAACCATCCGCATATCGTACACATGTTGATCCGGTTGCAATTACAACTAACAAATAGATAACTGTTGTTACAGCTATAGCTAATAATGTACCTTTTGGTATAGCATGCTAAAATAAATTTAAAATTTATCATAATAAATTTATAATTCTTAACATATAATGATATTATAAGCCTAATTTAGCATAAATGATAGAAATTGCTTTTATAATGTTATGCTTTAGAAATGCTAACATTTTATCATTCTTAATTCTTCAAATGAAAATTTTATTTTTGATTATAGAGGAAAGAAAAAAACAAAAAAGGAAGTAAAAAGGAATTAGTTTACTATTTTACAATAATTCTGTCAAAAAAAATCGTTGACAGGAACTAGAAATATTTTTCACTATTGATGATAAAGTTGATAAAGAGATACCTGAGGATCTGATAAATCACCACTAATATTTGCACCTGCCATTATTCCTGTTGCTGCCGGAAAATATATAGCAAATACCGAAAAAAAACGTTTCACCACTTTGAAAATTCGGAAACATATTTTCGGTCATTGTGGTAACTGTAAAATTATAATAAATTTATAGAAAATAATGCAATATATAATCCAAATATTTAATAATATCAATTTTAATTTCTCCTAATCATACAAAAAGAATCGAAAAAAACTAAAGATAAAAGGTATATGTGAGAGAAGTTATAAGTTAGCTCAAGATACCATAATTCGGAGAAATTATAAACCTAATAATTGAGAGAAATTCAATGAATTACAAGGAAATATCAAGATAAATCAATTTCAATCCTCTTTGTAAGATAGGTCATTCAAAAATGACCATCCACATGACTTTAACTGCAGATAAATTTTAATACAATGAAATGCTTATCATAGAAATCATATAATTAATTAACTATAGATCTTTTAGTTAATTAAACTTCTGAATCCATTCACAATCCAGAAGATTAATTAACCAGAAAGCCTATTCATTGAGTAATTTTTATGCATATCTAATGTATTGTAATATGATAATTTCATAACATCAACTGATACCATTTAAAAAAACTGAGTATATTGTAAATAAGAAAATGATGAAACTTACAACTATAACCCGTAATACCACGATATAACTGATTCTCCGAAATTGGTAAAAATGTCCCAATAAAATAATCGATAATGGATAGTATTAAAATAACAAGTAGACCAATTTGCATTTTACTTTCAAAACTTGTCCCAATAAATACAATTGCCATTAATATACAACATGAAACTGAAATATAAAAATATTCTAATAATTTCTGATAGGCTATTTTTTTTGCGTTTTGTAAATTAATCTAATCAAATCGGTATCATAATATCTCATTATGAAATCGATAATTTATTTGGTTTGCTGTACGGTAAGAAACAATAACGATTGGCATTTTAGTACGAAATATTTTTGAATGAAATTAATGATTAATTGATAATCAAAAAATTTCATCTTCTATAAATATATGTCTAAGGTCACACAGATGTATTAAGAGATAAGGAATATGTGGAAAAAACTAAACTAAGAAACTTTGATATACTGTTATTGCCAAGATGTAGTTGATTAAATTATCAACCAGAAGGGTGAATAATTATTCAAAATATCTAAGATAAAGTAATTTAGGTAGTTTGTAATCAAATTTTTTATTTTTCCACTCAGAGGGCTTTCTTTTTTTTTTAATCTTCTTTGATATATATTATTTAATTTCAGTTGCATATTTATAATGGATGAGTTGGATAACTGTGAACGTATCTGTGAAATGTAATTTGTTTTGATAACTGATTGATATCATATCAGACTAGTTTAAATTCAGATAAGACTTAAAGAAGTAATAATCTAGTTATGAATAATGCTAATACGATTGAAGCTAATTAATTAAAACTTTCTATATACATACCAAAACCAATGATTCGTACATCATTCATCCCACCATCAATAACTGCATAATTATTTTCTTTTAGCAAATCTCGTACTGTCTCAGCAAATCCAACGACATACATTGCTGCACCAACCGCATTTGCTACCGAAAATATCAAACCAATTGAACCACCAAATTCTGGACCCAATGAACGACTAATCTGAAATTAATCTGATAAATTCAGCCAAATTTATGCTCTTACAATACTGATTATTGATTAGTTTTTCCGGAAAGGCAAATACGGAAATCATCGCATTACATTTGAGTCATTAGCGATGATTTCCGATAATTTCCGGAAATCATCGTTAATGATTCAAATATTTTGGTGTACACGTGAGATACATGAAATAAATCGATCCGAAACATTTCCCAAATCGTAATAGAAAGTTTTACAAGGAAAGAGGGAGTAGAATTATGAAGTAATTGATATAAGGCCAGAATTCGGATTCGAATGATCATTTGATCGCTTATCAATTAACCGGAAGAAAGTTCACAGAAAAAAAAAAAAAAAACTAACCAAAAAATAAGCACCACCACCTTTAACGTCACCATTTGTACAAATAGCGCACGTTGAAAGTGCAGTGATAAATGTCACCAAAGAAGCAAGGAGTACAACTGCACATCCTAGGACTGAAATTAAACAAAGTAGTTAATTCAATGTTTCTAATCGAAAAATTCAAAGATATTCGGTAGACATATCTGAAAGTATAAGTAGAAATCGAAAATTTTTAAAATTGAGGAAATGCGTAAGCACAGTAATAGCATTGATTCTAATTGGAAAATTTGCAATTCTCTGTGCTTTGGATGTGAATTTCAAAAATTTTTCAAATAATTTAACAATTTCAGAATGTCAAATTAAAATATTTAATTTTTTGTCACAATTAGCAAGTGAATATTTTGCAATTTATAGTACATCAAATGATTCAAAATAAAACTTGAATAAGGTATGATAATACAACCTGATTCATTTAATCGAACCGATGGAAGATAATTTTACTGATTGTATTAAGAAACTGCTTTATTGATAAATAAAGACAATTATTATTAAGATATTAGCAATTTACCGATTCCAGCTTGTCCGGCAACCCAACTAATACGTAGATAAAGCATTACACCAAAAATATTCAATATGCAACGTACAAAAACACCCTGAATCCAACCGAATTTAGTTCGTGTAACAGGTACCGGAGGTTCAAATTTACTAAGTTTAGCTGTTTTTTCCCTTTCCCCATTGATTATATCGTCTGCATCCTTCTAGAAAAAAAAAAATTTATAACAATAAAAATTATTATTTAGCACATTTAAATTAGAATTTGACAAATGTCAAACATGAATTTTACAGTTTTGAATTTAAATTACCCTACATTTGATGCTTAACAGTATGCTCCTTTCATTACTGTCATTCAGTCTTTTTTTTTTTAGATTTCCTAATCTAAAATTAATTTATTTACTAAAATCTTTTCGTTTCAATCACAACACATTATTCTGTTAACGCCATAGCTGCGTGCCAATTGTAAATCGAACGATGGTAAGTAAAATACAGTACTACAATAGTTAAAATATTACAGTATAATATAGCGTAGTACAATGATTACGATAAAAAGAAGTAAATCAGAATTCAAGAACTGTGTATTAATTCTTCTGCTATAAGTAAAATTTATCTTTACATCAGTAATTATAGCATGATTGGGATAACTCCTTCCTTCGGATACTGTATAGAGAAGGAAATCAACAAGACAGGAGACAAGACCACTATCAATTATTAATTGGAGATGACCAATTGATTGCTCATATCATGAACAATTTTTAACATCAACCAATAAAGTATGCAACCGTGTCATTTGATTGTTTAAATAGGAAATTTATCAAACAAAAATTCATAGCTAACCTTAAATTCATCGATCCCAATTACAGTATCTTGAGCATTTTCACCATGTATAAGTTGTTTCATTGATGGTCTTGCTGTTATACCACCACCTTCGTCAACGGAATTACGATAGAAATCAATGATAGGTGGATGTTCAATCGTTTGCATATTCCTGAAATATAACAAAATTATCTAAAACTTTTTAGTAGATAAAAATTTCTGATCGAAAAATAGAATGTTTGAATTTAATAAGTCTGAAATGAAATAAATTGAGAAACTCCTAAAATTGTATACTTCGACTATGAGAATTCTCAATGTTTACCAGTTAAAATAACCAAAAATGAGGAAGAATCATGAGAAACAGGAAAAAGAAAATACTAACCTCCAACTTTTCAAATTAAACGTTACAGTATGTTCCTCCAAATCACCAGAATGTTGTCTTCTTTCTGAATCATTTTCCACCGAAAATCTTACAGTTCGTTCTGTTCCATTAGCACTGGATGGTGATGCCTCTTGAGTATTATCATGAACATTCGTATTATTCACTAATCGAGAACCTTCTTCAATCATTTCAGGTAACACTTTAGTAACACATCCTACATTTGATAATACCTGAAAATTAGCTTCTGGAAAATTCAAATATCTTAACCAAATGACAATGGTTACTTTTAAACCTTGCAATTCTTACATATCCAATCTTCCTATTTTCCTATCTTTCCTATTCCTTCATCATTGAAGATAGCAAAATGTTCGCTAATTTTCATTTTCAATTAAGCAAGAAATTTAAACATTATAAAAAGCATACATTTTATATTTAGATAGGTAACAGTAACAGGAAATATCAGTTGTCAACGTTTGTCATCTAACAAATTCTGATACCATTAAATTTGATTTAAAAATTTGTACTTTTGTTTTTATGAATGAATATGAAGTGTATTAATGATTTAGAAGTAGAATTCAAAAAAAAAAATGTCCGGAATGACCAATCCATTTAGAAGTATTATAAAAATGAATTGAAAGTGTAAGATCGTTAAAGAATAGACCAAAACTTGATAAGTTTCTCGGCAACGAAAACTTTTCTACTTGACGACAAAAAAAAGAAAAAAAACTGAGTAAAATATATTCTTTGACAAATAAACAAACGTATGATTATTCAAGCATACAGTAATAATTCAAATAATATTTTAAATTTTTTTTACATAAGTAAATTCATATCACTGAAATTGACCCATTCAGAATTTGTCAACTTTCAATTATTAGGTCAATTACC